CCAGGTGGTGATCTCAGGATTGTTGGGCTCTGCATTCAGCAAGGTGTCTGCTTGAGAGTCTTTCTTCCTCTCCCTCTGCCCGTCCCTTCTCATTCTCTCTCTTCTCTCTCAAATAAATAAATCTTTAAAAAAAAAAGAAGTTTAAAATCTCCAAACTTATTGGCATCATGTTATTGATAATACTCTCTTCTTATCTGAGTTAAATATTCGTTCTACCTTCCTTAAATTGTTTTCTCTCTCATTTTTTTCCTTGACCAGTCTTTCTAGTGGTTTATCAATTTTATTAGTCTTTGCAAAGAACCAGATTTGAGCTTTTTGGATCTTCTTTATTGTATATTTGTTTTCCACTTCATTAATTTTTGCTTTTACCTTTCTCATTCACTCCTTTATCCTTTGTTTTCTGTTTGTTCTTTTTATAGTGTTTTAAGATAAATGCTTAGCTCTTTGTTTTTCAGCCTTTCCCCTCTGACATAATCTATTTTAATGTCATAAATTCACTCTGCGTATCACTTTGGCTGCATGCTGCAAGTTCTTGTAGATATTTTCATTATCACTCGGTTCACATTATTTTCCAGTTTCTCTTGTGGTTTTGTCTCCGATCCATGTCTACATAGTTTTTAATTCTCATAAAGAGTTGAATCATTTGAAAGTTGTTGAGAACTTTTTTGTGACTCATCGTGTTTGTTTTTTATAATGTATACACACCTGCCAAGAACGTGGGTTCTGCAGCTTTGGAGTATTGTGTTCTGCATGTGTCAGTTCAGTCATGTTTCTTAGATGTGTTGTTCAGTTTCTCCTAACTTTATTGGTTACATTTGTTGTATTGGTTACTGAAAGAAGTGTGTTAATAATTTCCCGCCATGATTATAGATTTGTCTTTATAGTACTGTAAATTTTTTACTTATATATTTCTAGACTGTTGTTTGATATATATAAATTCAGAATTGTTGTATCTGCCTGGGAAATTGGACTTTTTATTATGAAGGATCCCTCTTGGTCTCTAGCAATGCTTTTTGCCGTAATGTATACTTATTTACTATTCATATAGCTATACAAGATTTCTCTTTTTTTTTTTTTTTCAAGTTTTATTTATTTGACAGACAGAGATGGATCACAAGCAGGCAGAGAGGCAGGCAGAGAGATGGGGGAAGCAGGCTCTCTGCTGAGCAGAGAGCCCGATGTGGGGCTCGATCCCAGGACCCTGAGATCATGACCTGAGGCTTAACCCACTGAGCCCCACAGGCGCCCCACAAGATTTCTTTTGGTTAGTTTTTGCACAGTATATTTTTCCCTAGCCTTTTTCTTTCAAGCTTTGAGCATCCTTATGATGTGTATTTTATAAGGACATGTAGTTAGATTTTACTTTTTGCACCTTGATCAAAGATCACTTCTGTATGTATATGTAGATCAATTTCTGGACTCTATTCCATTGATCTGTTTGTCTGTATGCCAGTAACACACTGTCTCGAGTCCTGTAGCTTTACAGTAAGTGTTGAAGTCCACTGGTGTAAGCCCTCTGGTTTTGTTCATCAGGGATATTGGTAATTTTCTTAAAATGTCTTTGTCTGGTTTTGGAATCAGGTTAATACTGGCCTCATAGGGTATGTGCTATGGTGAGTGCTGTGAAATGTGTAAACCTGGCGATTCACAGACCTGTACCCCTGGGGATAAAAATATATTATATGTTTAAAAAATAATAATAAAATTTAAATTAAAAAAAAATACTGGCCTCATAGAATGAGTTGGAAAGTGAACACTTCAATTTTTAGGAAAATTTTGTGCAGAAATGTAATTATTTCTTCCTTAACTATTTGGTTGGATTGGCTAGTTCTCATCATGGATTTTTGCTGGTAGTTCCAGTTCAGATAAACATTACAGGGCTTTTACTTAATTTTCTCAATTTTCTGTTTGTATCCTTTTTTCTCTGATGCTGAAAATCTTGACTCTTAATGGCATTAGCATAATTATTCATGTACTTTATGTGTGTTTATTTCAAAATAACAATGCCAGTATTAAAATTTCCTTAAAACTAATTTTGTTTTATTATTAAAAAATTTTCCATAGTTCCAGAGTTGAAGTATAAAACCAGGGTATGGTCAAGGAAATCTAAATTCCACCTCTGACCTTTTCTTGCTTTTTCTCCTATTGGTGGTGTAATTTTGGAGGGAGGAGGAGAATGGGCACAAAGATTATGTAAATATATACACACACACACACACACACACATACACACATTTGCTGCTAGCCACACATATATACACTCATTATACGTGTGTATATGTGTGTGTGTGTTTATATTTCTTTCCTAAGTTTCTTCTCACACAAAATGACATACCTATACCCATCTTTCTGTACCTGGTTTTTTTTACTTAACAGTGTATCTTGGAGATGGCTCTTTAGCTGCATAAAGACATCTTTTTTATCCCTTTACATAACAGCCTAGTACTTCCCTGTATGGGTGTACCTCCTGTACTTAAGCAGTCCTCTCTTAATGGCATTTGGGACGAAATAGTAACTTTTAAAAAGACATTTTCCGTATTCCAGACCACAGCACTGTGGCACTGGCCAGTAGAATTATTTAACCTTATGTAACAGTATTTTTATTAAAACCGTTTTCATTTCTACATCACCGCAGACATTCACTTTATAATATGCCAAGTTTCACTATGTGGTGTCCTGGGGACTGAAGGGGCTTTTCATCAGGAAGCTGAAGTTCCTACTTTTTGTTGTATCTCTGGGCTGGTGTTTTTAGCCTTCGTGGGCTTTGCCTTACAGCAGGTGCTTCTGTTTATCTTAAAAGACTTCTGCTTGCTGACGGAAGCACACACACCCCTCTGCAGCACCAACGTAACCTCATTAATTCCTTGTTCAGGTGATAGAACCCACCATTCTTACAACACCTCAAAGATGGTTTTCTCATTATAACCCATCAGGCTGAAAAAGTGATACATCCACTAGTCTTCTGCTTCAAGAAGTACCTGCTTCTAAATACATTAGTGTCTATATTAAGTATGTGTATATTAAGATACCTTAATATTATTTCAGATTTCTGTGATTTGGTGAATAAAGTACTCTCTTTGGCCTCATATATAACCAGTGGGTCCCTTTTGCTTAGGTGTGTCTTCTGTTCAAAGGATTTTAGTAGTCAAGCACTATTTCCTCCTTTATAGATTTGCCATGGAGTTTACTGAAATGTGCTGTTACCGAGAACCCATATTCGGATGTAACCCCTAATACATCGGTTTAGCTCTCTGATTGTTTATCCTAGAGAAAACATGAATACACCGGGACTTAACCAAATACTCGAAGTACTTTTCCCTCTTCCTGAGCCATACAAAGACCTTAAAATACTTAGGATCATTAACCTGCTTGTCACCTCTCCTACCCCAGCTTATGTGCTCTTGGTGTCATCATGTGTTAGACCCCACAACGTGTAACTGCCATTGCTTCCTATAGTCCGTATTCACTTAGATTTTTAAAGCTGTTATACTGAGTATAATTGATGTACAGTGAACTACGTATTTAAACTGTACAAATTGATAATTTTGACCTACGTATACACCCATGAAACTGTCAGCACACATATGTGTATATTCTCCAGTACACTTGTTTCTACCATAGAATCTCTTAGAAAATTAAGGTGGGGGAAAAAATTAAGGTGGTCAGCAAAGCCTTATTGCTGTTCTGTTGGTTTTGTTTTGTAGCTACTAGAAATGCGAGGTGGGATAAGAGAATTGTCATGATTTCTTGTGCCCCCATTTTAGAATTCTGCCCTCATTTAACAACTCAGTTAAGAAAACAAAAATGTGGGACCCCTGGGTGGCTCATTCGGTTTTGTGGCTGCCTTTGGCTCAGGTCATGATCCCAGGGCCCAGGGACTGAGCCCCACATCGGGCTCCCTGCTCAGTGGGGAGCCTGCTTCTCCCTCTCCCATTTCCCCTGCTTGTGTTCCTTCTTTCGCTGTCTCTCTGTGTTAAATAAAATAAAATAAAATAAAAACAAAAGTGTCACCTTAGGCTACTTCAGTCCACTCTCTGATCCCCTCCATTTTAAAAATTCATTGTATCTTTTATCATTTTCATCCATGTGAGTAGTTTGGCATTTGAGCTTTTCCAGTGCCTAGAAAATACTGATTTCTCATATTTGCCACCTCTTGGAAAAAGCAGCAGAAATATTTAAAGGCTTTCACATCCTGATTGAATCTATATCTTAGTAATTGTGATTTCTACAAATGAGATCAGTATACATTTTGATTTAGGTTCTTATTTTTAGACTATACGTACTAATTTTATGGGTGTGTGTGTGTGTGTGTTCTTTTTAAAATCCCCAATGCCTGAGAATATACTGATAGGTCATACAAAGGGACTTTTTTTTTTTTTAATTGTTTAGTGTATACTGTTGACTTTTGGGGTTTTATTCTATTAGCTTACACAAAATTTATGTATTTGGATTATAAATTATTCTTCTGCTAGCCAAAGAATATAATATTTTTAGACTTTGAGCATAGTTTTAAATTTAATTTTCCTTTATTAAATGATGTAAGAGATTCTCACAAGTATAAAGTGAGTTGAATAACTTTTCAGAATGGGAATTTTGCACATTCTAATTTTCTGACTATAATAATACTTACTAACACTAAGCTTACTGGGTCATGCATTTGTATTATCTCATTTTGTCCTTAATATAACCCTGTGTGGTAGAAATTATTTTCCTTATGCGACAGATGAGACATTAAGGCAGAGAGAGTTGATAGAACTTAAAATTTCATACAGCCAGTAAATAACAAATTTGGGATGTAAACCAGGCAACATATGTCCAGAGCCTGGCCTTTTAATCGATATAAACTTGCCATGATTAATTTTTTTCTCTGACATTGTGAAGGAATTACATGAACCAAAATATTCTCACTAAATAATTGTAGTGTTTTTGACTGTTGGACTCATGGGCTCACCTAGACACAAATACAAGAATGAAGTTAACTTTGTTTTTCATTCTTTTAGCTGATATAGCCCAGAGATATAGGATAAGCAAATACCCAACCCTCAAATTATTTCGTAATGGGATGATGATGAAGAGAGAATACAGGGGCCAGCGCTCAGTGAAAGCTCTTGCAGATTACATCAGGCAACAAAAAAGCGACCCTGTTCAAGAACTTCATGACTTAGCAGAAATCACCACTCTTGATGTAAGTTGTTAACTTTTACTGAATCAAATGAACATGGCTGTTTAATTAATGTAAACAAAGTCTAATGTAATCAAAGAATCTGGACATTTTCTTGGAGTTCATTGCAATAGATCTGACATCTACAGACTTAGCGAGCTAAATTTTTCTTGAATTAATTCTCAAGGGAAATGCTCATGTTTTACTGAATCTTTGGATAAAATATGTAGCATACAGTAGAGCTGCACTAATTTAAATTAATTGAAGGCAAAGCAAAGCTTGAGTTGTGAAGACATAGAAGTTAATGTCAGGAATACACAACCAGAGTTTGCCTATCTTCCTTAGTGGAGACACTCAGGATATCTGCACTAATGACTCCTCTATTAGCTCTTTGTGTAACTTTTAGGGTCCTCTAAAATAGTCCTCCTTAATAAAAACCCTTCCCATTGTATACTAAGTAGTGTTTAAACAAAAAAATGGTATGGAGTTGGAGCTTTAGGTTGTCGTGGTCAGGTTTGAGATTTGACTTTTACCCTGCTTCCACGCTAAGAAGTTAGTTAGCCTTTCATGGGTCCTATCAGAAGACGCAAGGCTACTGGGTCAGAGATAAAGGACTTCATTGCTTACATCCCAGCAAACAACGGGAGCATGTTTGCATTTGTCTCCCCTTCCCCGCCCCCACGTCCTGTGGAGGTGACATGGAGGATCCAGATGGATACCTGCACATGCCGTGGTTTCTGTGGTAGAAGAACTGGCCTTGGAGATTTGTGGTTTCTGACCCAGCAGTAAGCCTACTCTCTACCTGAGGGAGATCACCTCACACATCAGGGCTGCTTGCCGCGAGCACAACCCTGAGGGACGGCCTGGGTAAAGAGTGGTCAGGGTCCTGCATTTAGCTGCACCTACCTGTGTAGGAGCGTGAGAGACCCATGGAGGAGTCTCTACCAACAGTCACACGTTATGAATCGATGTATTATTTGAAGAATAGTCACCTTACTTTGGAATTCATCACCTTATTTAGTAAAAGATTTTCATCGATCAGTTAAAATAAAATGCTAGAAGGAAATGTTTATGATTATATTAGATGGGAGGTAAGATTGTTTTCAACCTAATGTAATCTTTAATAGTTTTGGACTAGGTGTTAAAATCCAAATATGTATTTATAGTGCTACGCCATTTGTAGATAACGGAACAACAGCTGGGTGAATGAAATAACATGTTTATAGCATCACTATATATGTTTGCAAAATAATTACATACTTTATTTTACAGCGCAGCAAAAGAAGTATCATTGGATATTTTGAGCAAAAGGATTCAGAAAACTATAGAGTTTTTGAAAGAGTAGCAAATATTTTGCACGATGATTGTGCCTTCCTTTCTGCATTTGGGTAAGTGTCTTAACTGAGAGTGTGTTAGTGACTCTACTTGGCTGCCATGTGACATTCTGGTTGTGTGTGGTTATTTTCTGAAGATGATCTCTCCAGACGTGATCTCCATTCCCTTACAGTCACCAACTAGTCTTCCTTACACCTATCTTTGACTTCTTTTTAAGAGTTTAAAAGTCTGTTTATTCTTTCTGTACTGTATTCTATTTCAGAGTATGGGTGAGTGGAAAAGAATGGATAAGTTAACAACTGCCTCTCATGCTTTTATTCAGCTCATTTACTAACACTATTATGTGTTCACACAAAGTACTAACTTGGGGTTTCCAAACTGAAACAACTCCTAGTCTTTCTCATGAAGAAGCATGGGCTTCGTTGTCTTGATTAATCTTTGGCACTCTACCACCTTTTCTTCTGTCTTCCCTGTTCCATAGGAACAGTACTTTAAGGTTAGTCTCTTTCCTCCTGTGTTTGTAACCATCCCTCCCGGATCCTCTGTGACATTCATCCAGCAGTTGTCCTCGCTCTCCTGTGTTTTCACCCTGACCATTTTCATGACCTATTTTCTTGTGCCAAAAACATGATTCTCTCTCTCCTGACCTTTCTCTTCTATCTCTTGAGCTATAATCTGGTATCTCTTTTCATTTCTAAATTTTTCAAAGATTAGTTTATGGTTGGCTACCTTGAATTTCTTAAACCCCAACCAGTGAAAAATCCTTACCCTTTGGAAAGCCAGCTTTTGCCTGCATTACTCTCGTGAGACTTCTCTCTGCATAGTCACAAACGGCTCTTAATTGCCAGGTCCAGTGGCCTTTTTTCAGTCTTCAATCCTCTTCGGTTTCTCAGAAGGCTGGGACAGTCAGCTACTCGGGCCTTTTTCTGCTGTGTCTACACTTAGGCTACCTTGAATCCCCCTGGCTTGCTCCTTCCTTTTCTGACTTTCCCTCCAGTTTTTTCCTTTCTCTCTCAAAATGGTATCATTCTGTAGTTCTTCCCCTTTTCACTGGGGGTTATCGCCACTGTCCTCTGACTTTTTGCAGTATGATTTCTCTCTTTGCTTTGGCCCGTGAGTGTTAGACTCCATTTTAGTGCATAGCTTGAGTAGCTTCCAGGTTTCTGGCACAGTCTGTCCTTTCCATTTTGTGACCTTTGTCCTTGTAGTAATGCTTCTGTAGATTTTGTGTGTGTGTTCTTGTGAACACTATCAGTGATTTTGGGACATCAGTGTAGGAGTAAATAATAGAGAACTTCTCCCAGCCCCACAGACCCTGCTTTGTGTGCGGCTGCTCTCCGGCCACACGGGCCCCTTGCTGGCTTCCTCAGACACAGAGGGCGCTTTTGCAGTGGGGCCCTCACCCTTACTGTCTTGGTGTCTAAAGTGCTTCTCCTTGATCTCATCTCCTCAGGAAGAGCTTTCCTGGTAACTCTCTATAAAATAGCACTGCCATCATCCAACTTGTCATTCTTTCGCCACTTAGTTTTCTTCAGAACACCTTTTTTATGGGTATTTGATCATCCAAAATAAATATATCTATTTGCTTCTCTTATTACCAAAATGTAAGCTTCGTGAGAACACAGGCGCTGTCACTTTTGTTTACTGCTGTGTACCCAGTGCCAAGACCATACCTGGTACAAGGAAGTGCTTAGTAAATAGTGAGTGAGTGAATGAATGAATGAATGAATGAATGAAAGGAGTGTGGTACTGCTCTAGTCAGAAACTAGAGATAAATCAGTGTTCAAGTAACCCAAATATAATTTAGAGAGAGAAAAAAGTTGCCATTCAACTAAGTATTTGTTGTAGAATTCACTCACCAAACATTTATTGGGTACCTATTATGTGCTGGATACTGTACTGGGGCATAGGAAACAATGGTGAACAAATAAAACAAAAAAATTGGTTATTGGAGAATTATAATCTAATGATGGAGATGATTTCAGTTCATCTACTTTTTTTTTTTTTAATAAGTTTTGGTTTTAAAGAGTAAAAAGGAGAGAATTCTGATTGAGTCTGACTTAGAAGCAAGTAATGTGTTTTTGTGATTGATCTATATGACCACATTAATGACCTTGACCCCCAGTTACTGGAAGCAGTCTGGTGTCAAAAATAGCTTTTTGGTGCTAAAGCTGCCAATCCAAACTTATAAAATATTGAGTCACAAAAACAGCTAACTAAAATTTTCCTTTAAAAAAAATCTGCCTCATATTAAAGTTTTCCTTTAAGTACATGCATTTGTTGATATTGCATAGTCTTACGAGGAGGAAAGATGATGACTGGTATATATTTCAAGTCATTATTATACATACATTGCAAAACAGTCAGCCAAATCTGTTTCATTCAAGTATAACACTGCTATTATTATTCTTAAAAAGTATTATTACTACTACTTTCTTCTATTAGAGCTGTTTCAAAACCAGAAAGATACAGTGGAGACAACATAATCTACAAACCACCAGGGGTAAGTTGTTATTTCTTAGTGTGTATAATTTTAAATATAATTTAAATACATGTATAGTATAATCTATAGTTTTATACTTGTTAATTCACAGAATCATTGAATTTTAGTATAGAAAGGAACCTTAAGGCGTCATCTCATACTAATTCAAACCTTTCGAAGTAAAGATGGGGACACCTAGGCCCCAAGTTACATAGGGATTTAGTGGCCAAGCTGGGACTAGAGATCTCCTGATCCGCAGGCCTTATCCATCTCTCTCTTTTACATTCATTATGAGACCCAAATTCCAAAAAATGCTTCAGTGGTCTGTGATCATCCCTTCTACCTGGGTCCGACCAGCCAAGCTCCCAAGTCCTCTGGGGTTTAAATTAACCTGATACTGGCCAGACAACAGGGAGCAACTAGGTTGCTTTTAAGCCTTGGCTAAGAAGTTAAGTGTATCTAAACTTAGAAGCAGGTCCTTAGGCCCAGACGATGGCAGCCACAACCAAGAGGCAAAGATCTTGGTGTGTGTCATCTCAGTTGACCTGCTGGTGTGGCACTGCAGTTTTTCATACACGCTCAGATGGAAAACTGTTGGTATTTTTTCGATTCATAGTTTTATTTTAATGTTGTTTGCAGTGTCTTGATACACTAAAGGTTTTGATTTTTATGTAGTCCTGTGACTACAGGAATGAATGAATTTTTTTGCTTAGAAAGCTCATTTCCTATTCAGAATTCAGATAACTGTTCGCCTGTATTTTCTGCAAGTGCGTTTCATTAACAGTAGGTTACATAGTGTGACTATCTCCAGATTATCAGCATCCAGTACCATTGGCTCATAAGTGCACGGGCTCGGAATGAGACTCCATTTTAGTGTCAGATCTGCCACCTTTCTAGGTGGGTAACTCCAGGAAGGTCTCTTAGCTTCTCTGTCCTTTGGTTTGTTCATTCATAAAAATAGCTGTGATTACACGAGTCCTTGCCTTATGGGGATGTTTCAGGGATTCACAGAGTGAACACATAGAAAGTGCTTACAACCAGCAGTGCTTGTAAGTCTACTTACACGTATACAGTAAGTTTACTCGGTTAACGGCAGCTATTATTTTTGTTGTCATTTTAAGCACTTCATAAATACTGATTTTGAGTGAATTGTGGAAAGAGATACTGTAGGTAAGTAATATTAGAGATAGCAGTGCCTTAGATTTGTATATATATAGTATCTTATATTTCTCAAGGCCTTTTCCTTGGAAGTTTCCAAATTTTCTTCTAACATTTTTAACTCTAAGGGATAGCTGAGTTAATTAATTTGGATAATTATTTTTCACAATGCCCGCCATTAGTGAAGATACTGATAAACAATTAATTGACTCAGATCTGAGGAAAAGCAGAAGGCTTAAACGTCACGGGTTGGATAACTAGGCCTCTGATAAATACAGATTTTTACAGCTCTCTTTCTTGGAAGTTCCATGGTTTTTGTTTTTGGAGGGGGGGTTTCGTTTGATTTTTGTACACCCTGTAGATTTTCTGGGCTCATAGATGGCTTTGAGAATGTGTTTTTGCTAGCACAGGTTAGATTTAATTATTTTTCCCCGCTTTTGTAACAGCATTCTGCTCCAGATATGGTATACTTGGGATCTATGACAAATTTCGATGGGACTTACAATTGGATTCAAGATAAATGTGTTCCTCTTGTTCGAGAAATAACATTTGAAAATGGAGAGGTATGACTTTCTGATGTGTGTTGTCTTTAATTCAGATTTCTGAAAGAACAAGCTTCCTCCAGCCATCTTACTATTTGCTACACATTTATTACTTGTAACAATCATACAGTGAACAGAATTATGTCATAGCCATTTCTGTAATAGAGGCCACTGGTTCTCAGCCTTTGCAGTCCCAGAACCCCTCTCCGTTGCATTTCTAGCAGTAGCCTTGAAAATGAATTGGACCATGCCTCTCAGGTGATTCTGATACTCCCCCTTGGTTAAGGGGATGCCCTATAGAAGCAGTGCTGTGCACATTTTAGTTAGAATTAATTATATACAGTGAATAATCTTTTGCCATAAAAAGGTTTTTCTGGTTCCTGTCTATCCTAAAAGATGAAATTGTGTTCTTTCATCGTAGTAATGAAAGCAGTTATCAGATGTTACCTTATAACTGTCCTCAGTGATCCCATGCTCCTGAAATAAAGTCCATCCAAACTCTTATAACTCCCACGAAAACAAAACACAAAAGTCTAATATTGGAGGAACACGTACAAAGAGCTGTGTTGTCTATGAGGCACATAAGAGAGCTGTGTATTACACATGGAAGAATTTTAAGTGTATAGTTTAGGTTTTAAATATATAGTTGAAATTTTCACATAGCTGTATAACCACCACCTAGTCAGGGGTCAGCATTTCTGTCAAGAGTCAGGTGCTGAATATTTTAGGCTCTGCATATGTGGCCCAGAAGCAGCCTTGTAGGACATCTGGGCCTGTGCGGGAACGTTGCAGTAAAGCTTGCTTGCTTGCGTCTTTCCTGGTTTGTCGAGGGAACGTCTGGCTACTTTTCTCCGTCCTCTAGGCTTTGGGTATGTTTAGCTGAATGTATTTGTTTATTGCTTTAGCTTATTTAGTCCTCAGAGGCCTAGAAAGATTTAGTAACTTGTCACAATTACTCATCTGCTTTGGTAGTTCTTTCTCTCTCTTTTTTTCAAAATGTACATTCTCTTCTTTATTTTTTAATTAATTGACTTTTAAAATTACGGTATAATTAACATAGTTTCATATTAGTTTCAAGTGTGCAGTACAGTGATTCAGTAGTTCCGTACATCACCCCATGCTCACCACAAGTGCAGTGCTTAATCCCTAGTGCCTGTTTCACCCACCCCCCACCCCTTCCTTCTGCTAACCATCAGTGCTGTCTCTATAGTTAAAAGAGTTTGTTATTTGATTCGTGTCTCTTTTTCCCTTTGCTCATTTGTTTCTTAAATTCCACACGTGAATGAAATCATAGTATTTGTCTTTTCCTGACTGATTTCACTTAGCCGTATACCCTCTAGATCCATCCATGTTGTTTCAGATGGCAAGATGCCATTCTTTTTATGGCTGAGCAATATTGCAATGTGTGTACATATACATAAGTGTATGCACACATAGTATACATACATACATACATATAGTACATATACCACCATATATATATATATATATATGCATGCCACCTCTTCTTTATCAATTTACTTGTGGATAGAACTTAGGTTGTTTCCATAGATAGTTTGGCTGTTGTAAGTAATGCTCCAATAAACAAAGGGGTACATATGTCTTTTCAAATTAGTATTTTTGTTTTCTTTGGATAAATACCAAGTAGTGGAATTACTGGGTCATATGGTGGTTCTATTTTTAATTTTTTAAAGAACATCTATACTGTTTTTTACTTCAGCAGTTCTTACAAAAACAGTTTCTAACACAGAGTCAACATGTATAGACCTGGAAAAATCTTCAACAATAAATAGGGCTCCTCTGCCCACCCCCATAGTAGCTCACACATTTTAGAATCTCTCTTTTAAATCTAAATTCTTTAGATTTTAATTATATGTTGTAAACCACTACCCAAAATCATTTAAACTACAAGGAAAGATTTGTTATCCCCTAAAGTTGGTTATCTGGATAACCCTCCCCTGGGGGGTTATCTTTTAAGACCGATTTCATAAAGACTATGTTGGTGTGGTAACTTGGTAAGGTAAACTTGGGAGCCCAGGCCACATGAACTGTCAGCTACTGTGTTAATGTGTGTAAATTGATACAGCAAACTAATTGACATGGATGTATTCAAACTACTCATCTGTTCATTACTTCTCCTAATAGTTGTTAGTGCTACCATACCTTTACTTAGTTTAATAAAGCAATACATTATATTTGTTTTTACTTTGAAACTAGCTCTTAAATTTTCTAGAAGGTGACTGCTGAGTCTTATTTCCCAATTAATATTTATTCAGCAACATCTGTCTTCATTTATTGAGTCATAGGTTGATTGCACAATATTGTATATAGTAATCTGTGAGCGAAAGAGAAGTAAAGTGAGATTCTCTGTTTTTAAGAGATTTTTGGTCCAGTAGTTTGCATGTGCAGGTAATGTAACATTAAAGACATGCCCCATGCCACATGAGGGGCACTCTGAAAACATTCTGGGAATTCAGAGGAGAGAATTTATTTTTACCTTTAGCAGAAATGAGGTAGGAATCAGGGATGACTTTCTTGAGGAGGCATTTTGGTCCTGTAACAAAAGGACAAAAAAACTAGAAGTACTTATGGAACTAGGGAAGTAAGAGGAGGGGCCTGTGCATTACTGTCGAGTGGTGAAGGCACTGGTTGGACTTTGAAGTGGTGCTCTCAGACAGGAAGTTGGGAATCCAGACTTGGACTGTGGACTGGAACAGGGCTTGGAGATGGAGAAGGAACCGGTTAGTGATGATGGAGATTGTTGGACTAGTTGAAGTTGCCAGGCTAGAGCAGAGGAGTCCAAAGACAGAACTGTGGGAGTAGAAGCAATGAATGTGTTGGGGAAAGAAAAAAAAAAAAAAAAACTAAGCTAAAGAAATAAAAAGTGAGGAGGAAGAAGTTGTAAGCTTGCTAAAAGATCAGTGTGGTGTTGGGGCTGCGGGGGAAGAGAGATGGAAAGCAACCGCTCAGGAGTGAATGTGCGTTTTCTTCTTGGAGTGGTGCACACATTCTGGAATTGGGTAGTATTGATGTTTGAAAACCTTGTGAATATAATAAAACCCACCAAATTGTACACTTTAAATGATGAATTTTGGGACTCCTGGGTGGCTCAGTCAGTTAAGCATCTGCCTTTGGCTCAGGTCATGATCCCAAGGTCCTGGGATCAAGTCCCCGATCAGGCTCCTTGCTCAGTGGGAAGCCGACTTCTCTGTCTGCCTGCCACTCCTGCTGCTTGTGCACACGCGTGCTCTCTCTCTCTCTGACAAATAAATAAATAAAATATTAAAAAAATAAAATGATAAATTTTATGGTATGCGAATTATATCTCAATTGAAAAAGGTAAACCTGACAAGAAGCTTAATAATTTATTCTGTATATGAGTGTAACGGGCTTCAACACGGAGATGGAAACTATAAGCAAACTCATGCCCCAGAAGATAGGTTCGAGTTTCAGTTTTTTTTAGCATAAAGGATGTTTGTGTTTTCTGCTGCTGGCGATTCCTAAATTACAGAAAGACACGCAAGAGGTTAGTTGATGGAAATAATTTTATTTTAATAATTTTATTATGAAGCCCTTTCTGGACTTTTTCTTGTGAGTCAGAACCTAACATTTGTCAGAGAGAATAAATGATGAAAATCTGCTGTCTTCTCATCACATTTATCTTGATTTTTCCCCAATAGCAATAATACAAATTTTTAAGGCAGTCAGTAATTTTTGAGGTGCTTTCGTGTTTGTACCTTGTACAGACACATACACATATATAGTGGCAGATACTTGTTAATAAGTCCATACATTATGTATTGGTTAAAAGCTGGCTGTCTTGTGGGGCTTTTGTCTTTTGCTCTGAATCAAACACTTTTCAGCGTTGGGTAGTTCTCATGTAAGTGGAGTGGTTTTTGCAATAAACTTTAGAAAAAGCATGTTTCCCAGTCAGATTTATTTGTTCCTGGTACACTCACTCAGTTTTTCAGTGTTATTTACGAAGACTGAAAATACTAATCATGTTTACCCCACCCTAAAGTCAACATCTTCATAAAGAACCAGCATAGTTCCTCCTTCGATCAACTCATTTCTTCAATGTCATGGTGTCATCTAAAAGGAGCTGATAGAATAGCCCAGTGGTTACTTTAAGGCGGATCAGTTCCAGCCCTAGAGCAGGATATGTGAGTCCTCTGATTGCCTGGGTACTTGAGGGAGAGGGCATGGGTTCCTTCTTCCCATGAGGCTAACGTTTGTTTACACCATTGAACCTTTTTTTCCTGGCATGTTGAAACCGTTATGCATGTTAACGTGGGTTGGGTTCAGGTTGTTTTTACCTAGAGCAATGGCAAGGCCTGATAATTCTTATTGACTACTTCTGTATACAGGAATTGACAGAAGAAGGACTGCCTTTTCTCATACTCTTCCACATGAAAGAAGATACGGAAAGTTTAGAAATATTCCAGAATGAAGTAGCCCGACAATTAATAAGTGAAAAAGGTAGACAGATTAAGGTGTTTATTTTCAGCCTTTCTTCTGTCCCTCCCCTTCCCCATTACATGCATATCCATGTAAACATATTTGGGTTAAAAATTTAAAAAGTAATGTTAACTCTGTTCAACCCCTGAATTGACATGTCAGCATGGGGGTGGGATGCATTAGTAGAGATATTACGAAGTAGTGGCTTTTAAAACAAACACATGACCATATTAGCTCCCCCCAAATCAAATAGCATGAAAAGTGGGGTCATGGGTAGACAACGTTAGTTTTAGGTACTTTCTTCCAGCACCTTGATACTTGCCTGGTCCCTTTCTAATGGATAATCCCAGAGAGATCACTGAGAGAACTTAGACAGTCTAACATTTATTTCTAAATGAAAGGAAGTTGACTAGTTCCCTGCAGGGTTCTCCAAACCATCAGAAAGGAGTTTGAGTTTTTACCCACTTTGCCTGTGTAGTGAGAGAATAAAGTCAGGGCACTGTGTAGAGCCCTGCTCTTATTAGTCACGTAATAAGTATTTGGGGGCTGAATTATATTAAATGTCAACCAGTAGGTACGGAAGGGCATCCTTGAGGAAGTAAAAATGGGCCCTTGAGAACAGCACATTGTCAGTTTCATGAACTTGCTCACACTGAGACCTGGATAGGTAATTGCCCATTCAAGAAAAATAAAAAAAACTCACCATAGCATTTGAATTCAGGTTGAGCTCATATATAATTTCTCAGGAAATTATACCCTGTCCTAAGCACTAAATTCTACCTATTTCAAATGTAATTTTTAGGTTGAAGTTTTTGTGATCTATATTACTCTAAAGCATGTTGTTTTTAATTAATTAGTTAATTATGTCATTTTTCATGAACTTAACAATCTTATGAGACTACAGTCAAGAAAATTCTAATCTGCCTCTCTAAATTCTGTTTCCTGTAAAGGTACCATAAACTTTTTGCATGCGGACTGTGACAAATTTAGACATCCACTTTTGCACATACAGAAAACTCCAGCAGACTGCCCTGTCATAGCTATTGACAGCTTTAGGCACATGTATGTGTTTGGAGACTTCAGGGATGTGTTGTAAGTATTCTCTTTTTTCTTCTTAAATTACTGATACGTGTCTCAAAAATGAACTTAAAACCATTGTTTGAACATTTTAAATAATCCTGCGTTGAACCAGGACTACTTCGTTATTTGGATGGAGAAGGTTTTATTTTTCATTCTAGAGTGTGGTATAATTGTGAGAGTTCTGATATATTCCTATAGAAATACCAGAATTAGGTGATCTTAATGCTTGGGAATGAATCTCTGAAGGAAAATGTTTGCCCTTCCGGAAGTTAATTCTGAATTGAATGTGGTGTTTGTCAGCATGTCAAAGAAAAGATTCTAGTCCCAGGTCGGGTTAAAGGTAAGTGGTAGTATCACTGCTCACTGTGGTGTGTAAGACCCAGAAGATGGCCATGGCTAGGCCTGTATGTGGGTATGAGCACGAACCTTTCAGGAACAGGTAGGGTTTCTGACTCCGTTCTCCATTCTCCATTCTCAGCTCTTCATAGTATAAATAAATATGTTACCCCTGTCTCTACAACAGATAGTAGATTTTTATCTGCTTTTGAAGATGTTAAATACAGTGGTTAAAAAATGGAGATGTTTCTTCATGTATGAAAGTTTTAAGCAATAGGTATTAATTCAAACTAGACCTCTTCTTTTAAATTTATTTAAGTACCCTGTTTTACGTCCAGAGATTAAATTGCACAGTTAGAGGATGACTTGAAATCCGCTGCAGAATGAATTACCTCACTCACGACTCAGTATTTCATTATAGAGATGTAGTTGTTTGATAGAAGATTCTCAGTCTTACTGCATAGCGGACCCAGATTTGTGTCCTGCCTTGGGCTAGTCGCTTAACTTCTCTGATCTTGTTTCTTTACACTTAAAATATGGTTGGTGATATAATTTACTTGATGGGATTGCTATGAAAATTAATGAGAGATGACGGTTGTGTTAGGAACCATAGGTACTAACAAATATTTGTTCTTTTTACTTTACCTACACTCAAAAGAATACTCTTTAGCTTATCAACTCATTAAATACTTACGTAGGTCTTTTGTAAATTCTTATTGTGAAATACATGTAACACAAAATTTACCATTTTAATTAAAGAGTAAAATTTGGTGGTATGATGTTCACAATGTTATACAGCCATCACTAGTACTAGTTCCAGAATTTTTTCTTCATCTTAAACAGAAATCCCATAACCCATTAAGCAGTCACTTCCCATTCTGCCTCCCCTCAGCCCATGGCAACCACTAATCCATTTTCTGTTTCTGTGAATTTGTCTCTAATGGATAATTTCATGTAAGTGGAATCATACAATTTGTTATCCTTTGTGTCTGACTTCTTTAACTGCGCATAACTTTTTCAAAGTTCCTCAGTATTTTAGCAAATATTGGCACTTCATTCCTTTTTATTACCAAATAAACTTTATTATATAGGTATGCCACATTTCTTCTATTTGTCAGTTGGTGAATTTTTTTCATTGTTATTTTAAAATTTAAATTCAATTAATTAACTTATAGTGTATTATTAGTTTCAGAGGTAGAGGTCAGTGATTCATCAGTCTTCTATAACACCCAGTGCTGATTACATCACGTGTCCTCCTTAATGTCCATCACCCAGTAGCCCCATCTTCCCCACCCCCTCCCCTTCAGCAATCTTTAGTTTGTTTCCTATGATTAAGAGTCTCTTATGGTTTGTCTCTGTCTCTGTTTTTGTCTTGTTTTGTTTTCCCCTCCCTTCCCCTAGGCTCCTCTGTTTTGTTTTGTTTTTTCCTTAAATTCCACATATCAATGAGATCCCGGTCTTCTATATGACAGTCATTGTATAATATAAACCAAGTCATATAAACCAGTGGTTCAAAGTTTCCTAAGACTGGGTCCTTGCCCTCAATGAACTCACAGCCACGTAGAGAAAGGAGACAGGTAGGGCAACAGGCAGTTGTGTTTTATGACATGAGAAGGGCTCTGACAGAGCTCAACAGGGAGATACTGGATCCAGGCTCTGGAGATGTGGATGCCTGAGGTGGGTCCTAAAGTTCTATACAGGCTTATCATGGATGGAGGAGGAGACAGGTCTTGGAGAAGAGGGATGGGGGATACTGGCAGAGACAAGAATGAAACTGTGGCTGAGTATGTGTGGACAGGAGGGGCGATGCTGAGGGATGAGGCCATGAGAAGCATGCACCGGTTAGCTTCTGAAAGCCCTACGATGTGTTAGGGAAGTTTGACATTATCCTGAAAACTCTGAAGAGTCAGTGACAAGTTTGAATCCGAAGGTTATTTAAAAAAAAAATCCCTCTGGCTATACACTGGAGACTAGATGAGAGGGAGTCAAAATAGAATCCAGGAGACTTCAGTAATCCAAACAAGAGTTGATGATAGACAAGTTGATGAATCTTGAATGAACAAATTACCTAAATAAGTTCTGGCAGTAGAACTAAAGCTAGAGAGATGCAGGAATCTCAAGATATTTTGTAGGTGGAATAGGAGGACTTGGTATCTTAATAAATGGGTGAAGAGAGCGGTGAGCGATGGCCAGGAACCTGACTTGCACAGCTAAGTGGGTTAGCCATTAACTGAGCTGGAGCTCTCAGTAGAGGAGCAGCCTTGTGGTAAAGGAAATGAGTTTTCTTTCCTGGCACACTGAATTTGAGGTGCCAGGGGCCACGAAGGAGGCGTTTCCAGTAGGGAGTTGACATGGCTCCAGATTCAATAAGGAGATAAGGGCGGGGTCTCAAATACATAAGAATGTAGCCGAAGTTATTGAAACAGATGAGATGATTTAGCACAGGGCTGAAAATGGAACCCTGATGAATGCCAGCCATTAAGGGAGGACAGAAGAAGGAACATGTGTGAAAGACTCAGAAGAAGGAGGAATCAAAGAAATGAACGAAAAACCAGAGAAGAGTCCTATGGAGGAGCACTTGAAGCAGGAAGGACTGCTCAATCAGAAGGATGAAAGATCTGTTAGATTTGCTCCCTGGAAAGGCTGTATTGCATGAATCAAAGAATACTGTTTGGTGAGGAGATGGAGATTTGATGATGAAAATTGTTGCAAGAAGCTGGCCTCTAAAGGGAAAGAAAACTAAGGGGATGGGTCCAGAGAGACAGGATAAAGGGAGGTTTTGGCTTTTCTTTCTCTCTCTCTCTTTTTTTCCCCCCACCCCCTTAGAGTACAAGAAAGTAGCCATGATTAAGTGCTTGTGGGAAAGAACCAAATGGATTGAAGAGTTACTGTAAAGACAGGAAAAAGAGGGGCTAATTGATCAAGCAGAGCCATAAGGGGCACAGAGGGAATGAGAAGCAAAAGAAAGAACCTTCTTCCTTTCCCATGAGAAAGAGAGAAAAGGAAGGGTGCATTCCTTTGGGGGTATTTGGGGCTTCTGGTGTTAGTGACATTAGCAGAACAGACATTCCTGTCCAGTTCTTGTTTTCAACTGTGGCTAGAGAAGCAAGATCATTTACTGAGAGTGATGAGGCAGGGAGATGAGAGGCAGGACTGTGCTGGGTTTTATAAGGAAGAGGAGTTGACCCAGAAAGCCATATGAAAGGTCCAGATCTCCCTAGCATCCCAGTGGAACTGCTACAGTTCCCTTAGCAAGCGTGAGCATTGATCTTCGGGGCTGATGGAAATGTCTTACCTGGTTGGGTGTCCTCTTCCTCTCATTTCTTAGCCTTGCTTCCTGAAGCTACAATCTCAAGCTTAAAGAATGAGCTTTTTGAAAGAGGGTAGTTCTAGTGTCTGGTCCCGCCTCAAGTGCTTCCAGGCAGAGAGACTGTGCTTGGCATTAAAAATCCTGTCTTATGCATGGCTTGTTCCTATGAAGTTGCTAGCACATTTCCCTACCTCTCACAGGGGCTAAATCTCCGATTGTTTACCTCTTCACTTTCACTGCAGACTTGCAGCCTCAATTACAAAGTCTCTTATTAGTGGAAGTCAACAGGATACTGACTTTACTACCAGTTGGCAACCAGACTATGCCCAACTTTGGCTTTTGTTCCTAGGAGCCCCGTGTTACACATCAAGGGACATCTGTGAGGATTTCCATCTTGGCCGTCTTAAGTTTTCTTCTCCAGTTTTGAAGTCAGATTTAAGTGCTCCTTTGGCACTTCCAGTCCCATCTTGGGGTCTGTTGGTCACAGAACCCAACTAACACAAGCAGGTGTCTTCATTATCACGTGACCCAGTCCCCCTTTCTCCAGCCCTAGTTTACTGGACCAAGAGGTGGGCACTTGACCAGGAAAAACTAATCTGTCTGCTGGCAGCATTCTCCTTATGCCCTGCTGTAAAAAGAAACTGCACCAGTAAGATTCTCCAGAGAAATCTGGAAATGGGAAATAGTCCTCCTCTATCCTGCAAGTGTTCAGTCCTGTGAATAGGGAGGGAGATAAGAGAATTGATTACACTTGAAGCTCTTTGAAACAAATTACTTCTTTAATTTCTCCCTTAGGTGCCTGATTTTCCCTCCTAGGCACTGTTCGCTCTAATATTTTTTAATTGTAAGGAGGCACATGCTGTGTGAGCTACAAATTGAGCCTATGTGAATAGATGTTGGTGTTAAAAATCAAAATAGGTAGCAAAGTGAATCTGACCATTTCATGGCTTGCATAATTGTTATTGTGCTGCATGGTAATTAAGGCTTAAATGATAAGCAGTTTCTATAAATTACTGTAATTACTATTACTTTTAGTAACTCAGCATTTCTGGGGTCAGTCGGAGGAAGTGGTTGGGGTAAGCAGCAAGAAAGCAGATTTATGCTACATGGTCTCCTCCCACGCCACAGCTGGCATGGCGTTGGGGGAGGGGGGCATGTTACCAGTGTGCTATTGACCTCTCCCTTATTTCAGAGAAACTGAGCCTTAGGGAGGTAACATAACCCGCAAGACCACACAACTAACTAGTGGGAGGCCTGGGATTCATGTCCGAGCATATTGAACCGAAGTCCCAAGCTTTTAACCCATCCTATCAAAGTGGTTCCATTTTCAGTACATAGAAAAAGCAGTGTAAGTGTGAATGTCAAA